AACACTGCCACCCATTGCTTCTTGTCCTATCCTCAGGTGCTTTGGTCTCCCTCTTCTTTATGGCAGGCCCTGAGATATTGGAACACTGCTATCATGTTACCCCTAGTCTTTCTTTTAATCAGACAAACCCATTTCCAGAAACCGTTCTTTATATAGCCTCTAGTCCTCTAATCATCTTTGTTGCTCTTCTCTGCACTCTTTCGAAAGTCTCAACATCTTTTTTATATCATGGCAACCAAAACTGGATGCAGTATTCCAAGTGTGGCCTTACCAAAGCATTATAAAATGGAATTAACACTTCATGTGATATTGATTCTATCCCTCTGTTTATGCAGCTTAGAACTGTGATGTCTTTTTTGGCAGCTGCAGCATACTGCTGGCTCATATTTAAATGATTATCCACTAGGACTCCAAGATCTCTCTCACAGCTACTATTATATACTGTATCTGTGCATTTTGTTTTGGTTTTTTTTGCCTAAATGTAGATGCTTACTGTTTTGACCATTGAATTTCATTTTGTTAGATAGCCCAATGTTCAAGTCTATCAAGATCCTTCTGTAACTTAAGCCTACCTTCTGGAGTGTTGGCTATTCCTGCCAGCTTGGTGTCGTCAGCAAATTTGATGAGTTCCCTATCTATCCCCTCATCCAAATAATTGATGAAAATGTTGAAGAGTCCTGGGCCTAAAACAGAGCCTTGGGGTACCCCACTGCATATTTCCCTCCATGTAGATGAAATTCCATTGAGGAGTACATGTTGAGTGTGGATGGTCAGCCAGTTACGAATCCATCTGGTGGTGATGCTGTCTAATCCACATTTTCTATTTTACCTAATAGGTTATAGTCTTTAAAAAATAATTCATGTATGAAATACTTTCCCCGATATAGTGCCAATTGGGACAAGGGTTTTGGATCAAACAGCTTAATTTAGGCAAAAGGGAATGAAAATGAGTATCATTCTAAAGTGGATTTTTTGTTTTTTTATTTGCATTTGAATAATGATGTCATTTTAGACCATGTTAACAAGATATTTGATCTGAAAGATGCATAAAATTGAATTATTGTTTGAGAAAAAACATATTTCACAAGGCTGCTTTGTCACTGTTATTGACATTCTTCCCAGCACACATTATCTTGCCTCATATCACAGCAAGTCTCCAAGATCTAACTGTTTGTTTATAAAATAAGTTAATATCTATAGTCAGCATGACAGACTGAGCAGGGAAACATCTTAATATCTAGTAATAACATCCAGATGTTTCCTTGAAGGCCTCCTTTATAAGGAAAATGTATACCACAGCAGTTTTTTTAGATCAATGTATGGCATAATACTTTGAGTTGCATTTTTCTTTAGGTTGGCCTGTCCCATTCCATAGTCCTGCAGAAGCACTGGACTTCAGCTCCCATAATGCTCACCCAGCATAGTTGACACATGGCACTACTGCAAGGTGCTAGATAAAGGAATACTTTCCAGATCTTGAAAACAATACCCTTAACTTTAGAATAACAATACTGTAAGGCCATCAATTTGTACTGTTTCCTCAAATGTGTGATGAGAAGTGGACATTCTTTTAAAAGACCAAAGGTAGTTTTCTTATGAAATAGCTCATGTAGTAGTATTCTTAGGTCCGTATTTCAGATGCACAATTTGTTCCTTTTCATTAAATACAGCATTAGGTAAAGTGACTTAAGAATTCATTTATTGAATGATTAGTGAATGAAAAAGGATTTCCTATGGGTCATCTCAATTTGATCACCAATAGAGCAATTGCTGGATGTTCTGAATGAGTACAGTATTTGCTGAGACTGTTTAGAACATCAACCGATGACTGGATCACACATGGCAGTGCAAGTATGGTGCTTGACCTGGGCAGGTTCAATTAAGACAGGACTGTAAAGTTGCTTAATGGTCATAAACCTTCATTCAGTATTCACAGGATTCATGATTTCTTCTTGGTCATAGTGAAACATAACAATAAATTTCAATTCCAAAAAGAATTGCATGGATTTTTGTTCTGACCCCGCTCGTCCCACACCAACACACACTCCAAATCAAAGATAAGTTACGGCATTTAATTATCAGACAGACAGGTCCTTGGCAGCAAACTGGCACAGACAAGCTTGNGTTGTTCCAATATTTGCTCTTATAATTAGAGAGAAAACCATGGGAACTTTCAGAATTGGTTTTCACTAGCTGTGCCGATATGATGTATCCAATAAACATGTTCTTTGAGATATTTACCTGCCTCGGAGTTGTGTTTTTAGCGATGCATTACTTGGAATACTGACATTACAGTCCATGCTGTTACTTTGAATACATGGTGTATGTTTCAATTAATTTTTTAATAGTACTTTGCTTTCTTGTTAACTTCCTTAATCAGTTGCTTTTCCTGCTCAAGAGTTAAGTATTCATTAATTTTTATTCTCCTAGTGTGCCAAAGGGAGAAGAAAAAAACCTAGCATGGTCTACTTTTCAATCCAAGCATCACTCAGATTTAATTGTACATGTTGAAATTATTTTCTGAATTATGATGTAATTCCCCCCCCCCCTCAGGATTTGCAGATAGAACGTGAAAAAGCTGTCTTCAATATATCTGGTGGTTGTACGGCTCTTGTGGTGGTGTATTTACTGGGGAAACTCTATGTGGCAAATGCAGGTGATAGCAGGTAAGCTAAATTTGTCATTTGGCTGGAAAATTGTAAGTAAAGTTCTTTAATATTTACATTTGTGTGTGTTCAACTAAAACAAAATGTATTTCTGTCCTCTTTCATGAATTTCAGTTTTCACAAAAATTAACTAATTCTAAATGAAGTTATGTTCTTTGCAACTTTCTGATGTTAAATCTTTTCTTCTGCCAGTGTCTTAACTGGCTTGAAGTTTCTGGGACAGTCTCTGAAATTTTTCTTCCCCTTCCTTTTAATGCGCTACCATTTCTTCTTCCTGCATCACAAGTTAAACATGTTTCAATGTCCGTTTTTTTTTCTTTGTCAGTCGAAGCAAATAGGCCAGCAATCCAGAGTGAATGCAGCAACCTGAAGTACTGAAATAACTTGTAATTATATTTTATGTGATCAATTTTTTTTGCCTTGAAAATAAAACTTTGATTCATTTGGAAAATTCGTATGTTAAAGTGTCCTTAAAGTGGGATCAAGTCCTTGTGTGAAGGCCAGGCCAATTCCCCCATCCCCACTTGATCAATATACTTTTCTATCGGTTGTGATTTTAATAAAAATCTTTTTATTCCCCCCCTTTTTTTAAAGTACAGATTTTAGTGTTGTTTGCACAAATTTGCATTGCTGTTGTGCAATAGCATTTTTATTAGTTTAGCAGTACATTACAACATAAATACAATACATTAAGCATAATGCATATGAAGTGCACTGGCTGCCAATTTCTAAAACTATTTTGATAATGCAGAATTTACAGCAAAATTCTCAGCCAAAGATTTCTATGGATCAAAATATAAAATTTACTTTTGACTCCATAATCAATTGTTTCTTTTATAAGAGTTTTCTTAGAAGAATATAAGAAAATTGTGTAAAAAAATTATTTCAGTAATAGCAATGCTAGAGCAATCCAGATAGTAATAGGGAAGAGGCTTGGCAGAGCAGCGACAGTCAGTAAATCCAAATAAAACAATTTTTTTAAAGGAATCCAGCACAGAACCTCTCTAGGTATACATATTATGACTAGTACTAGTCATATTAGAAATGTACGTATTTACTACTGTATCATTTTTAAGCCATTGCTAGAAAATACTAACATTTATGTTTAACTCTTTATGGAAACAATTAGTAGATGCATTTCAAGAACGAGTGCATTTAATTGTAGGAGTCAATGGGGAAGAATCATACTTATTTAATTTCTTTTCCTCTGTTCTTTTCCTACTGTTGCTGTTTTCTGATCCATATAATAAATAACTTCTTGTAAACTCTTATTTGTTCATTGTATCTGTCCCATCTCTGCCTATCACATTCAGAATACTTCTTCAAACATGAATATGTTTCTGCTTCACCTATGCGAAATTCCTAATGTCTGGAGCTTTTTGATAAAATGAGCATATACTTCCTGTGGTGTCAAATTTCTAACAACTGTCAAAAAGGAGTTGGTAAATGATTTATCTTCATCACTTCTTAGCAGATTGTGGAATCTGTTAAAGAGATATGCAGTTCATTGCTGTGTTTCAAATAATTTCTGGTTGAAAAGGTATGTAATAGTATCAGGGCATCCTATGAATACTTTTTCACAGCAGGAAGAGAGTGTTTTTTTTATTTCCTTTAGAGCAGGGGTGTCAAACTCGGTGGCGTCATGAGATGTACCACAACTTTCCCCCCCTTCACTAAACTTTGCGTGGCCAGCATGTAATGCATCCAGCTAGCAGTCCGCAAGTTTGACAGCCCTGCTTTAGAGTATTCAAATGCCAGGTTACCTTTTACAAATGAAATTACTCTTTCAACTTTGCAGCATGGTAGTATTTGCTGTGCATCTTAAGCGGGATGACTTTTTCCTACAGTATTTGATTTCAGCTTTCGCTCTTTAAAGAAGCTTGAAATCTAAGATAAATCACAGAGTCACTAAAGTATGTTGAATGTGTTAGTACCCTGCATGTAACCTTCCTGTTTGATGGTTTTATCAACCAAGGTATGCTAGAATACATTTTTTCCTTATCTTCCTTAAGAAGGTACACTGGGGAAAAATGGATTTGGATTATGGTTTTGGCATACTGGTCAAAGTATGATTTGGTTAACTTTTATTATCAGGGAATTCTTCATGTAGCCTGGATATGACTTAAGACTCCAAATTGAGTCTATTCCTTCTGTGTTTTAATAAAAAGCATTATGTGATAGATTTGCTTGATTAAAGTAATGATGGAGGTTAGTATTTGTAGGTCTGTGGAAGATTGGGTTTAATGTATTAGGGAAGTACATTATGAAGAGTTTAATTTAACAAATGAAATTAAAGAAAGAAAAATAGACATGTATGTCTTTGAATCTAAGAAAAAAGAAAGAATATAGCAAATCTGAAGAAAGGTACACTGGTCTTGTAGAATAGAATTCAATATATGCTGAGAAATAAAGTGTAGTTTTCATTATGAATGCCATGGCTATTGCTAACANTAGTTTCCACCCATTGCTTCTTGTTCTACCCTCAGGTGCCTTGGAGAATAGTTTGACTCCCTCTTCTTTGTGGCAGCCCCTGAGATATTGGAATATTGCTATTCAACACTGAATATTCATGCCTCTGTCATTTAAATAATTTGTGTGCCTTTAAATAAAGAAAGTTCTGTGGCATTTTTAGAATATGATCTTACCTGAAGGAACCAGAGTCAGAACATTACCCGTGAGGGTCTCTTCCTTTTTTTCTGGCTGGACTTAGAAATAATTCTATTATTTCCCTAAAACTTATGTATATAGTTCATTTCCATATGTCGCAAATATATAATAAAGGTGAAATTGCATTAGCAAGAGTTTCCAAAGCAATGGAAGTTATAATGTACAGTATGTAATGAGAAGAAATGTTATGTTATACAGTACTTAAACTTTGGGTTTTTTTTTGTTTGTTCCCCAGTTTAATGCTGGTTACCACAAGATGTTGTGATGAGACACATGGAGTTCCCCCCCCACGCCCCACCCCCAAAGAGCAGTTTTGTTTTTGTTTTAGGGATATTATATACATGCCATTAAATTGGTAATGAACTGAAAACCATGTCGGATTTCAGCATCAGTAGCTTTTATATTTTTACGAAATAGATATTCTACTTTGCTCTTTTGTAAAAGAAACAATTTTGAAGACCAGAAGTGTAACTGCCTTACCAGATATGTGAGAGTAAAAACAGCAGCATTCAGAAAGCAGAGGAAGATGAAAGCTTTGATACAGCAGCTTATGAAAGCTCTCTCATTAGTTTCTTTAAAAAATTGTTTTAGGCAGAAATCTCTTGTCTGTTAAGCTTATGAATCTATGGATTTTCCACTAATTAAGCAAATGATTTGTATGCTTTTTAAATTGTTCATTTTTATTAAAGAAATTTGGTATATTTGGGGTTGGCTGATACAGATTGTTTTGGCAAGGAGACTTTTCTGTTTGGGCAGTCAAGTGAGATTGAGTCTAGATATCACTTTTCCCAATAGTTTCATCTTCCAAGAAAAGCTGAGGGTGTTGGCAATCTATTACTCTAGCAGGCTGCCAACAGCTCTTATGTAAGTTGAGAAAATACAAATTCGTATTACTAAATTGTGATGCTCTGCCCTAGTTCAGTGTAGGATGAAATGTATAAGCAGCTTCTCTCGATTATAAATGTTAGAAGAAAGTGCAGCAATTGTGCAAGCTCAACAATGAAAAGGTGTAACAGGGGTTTTGGGATAGTTTGATGAGGCAAGGGAAAAGTGTGAGTTGTAATTATGGATTTCTGGGATGATTGCCCAGTCAGTGTCCTCTTTTAATATACAGGCATATATGCAACCCCATTTGCTGGGAAATGAATTTACACATTTGGAGTTTCCAAGGAGAGTTCAGCGAAAGGAAGTTGGGAAAAGAATGCTTTATCGAGATTTCAGCATGATTGGCTGGTAGGTACATACCCCTTTTGAATATATATATATATATATATATATATATATATATATATAACATTTAGAATATATAACGTGTTATATATGTTATATAACATATAACATTTAGAAATATAAGGATATGATAATAATATACATTTCAATTACAAAACTAAAGTGGACTATTGGAACCCAATGTGGAAAACTGGTTGTGTCAAAACATGGGAGAGCGGTGAAAACGAAAGTTCAATCTTGAAATTTTTTCCCGGTGGGGGAGGATGGGGGTGTTGATAGGCGTGGGGGCACTGCAACATCCCTGGGGCCAGTCATAAAGGTGAAGGACCATGGGGGTGCTGCAATGGCTGTAACTTTGGATCATAAGTAGCTTTTGGTAATTTTAATGATGTACATCAACTTTATTTAATGCCAAAAGAATNCAGACAGACAGGTCCTTGGCAGCAAACTGGCACAGACAAGCTTGAGCAGCAATAAACACAGATAAGGTTTGGCAGCAATCCAGCCTGCCAAGCTCATAGTAATGTCCTCCGACATTCAATCCTGCGTTGACTTCTGCAAAGAGGAGCATGTGCACAAAGAGTCTTTATATAGTCTGGAGAGGAGCCTAATGACCACCAGCTGAGTGCAATTACCTCCTGTAATTGCGCAACTGTTCCTGACACCTGGTAGCATTTCGATGCCGTACATCCAGGAACAACTCACTACTGGCATCCGGCTCACTCTCCCTTGTCTCCTCCCCACTGGTCCAAGCTCAAGCGCCTCTTGGTGACCAAGGGTCCTCCACATCCTTCAGAGCCGACACATAGGGCCCCTCGCTGTCTGAGTCTGGTGGCAGCTCCAACGGCTCCTGCTGGGCCACAACAGGTTTTGGCACATATGAAATAAGCAATTAGCAAACGTCTCCCTTTCTGCTAGTTAGAAAGAATTTTGTATTCTAAAATCAGACTGAAATTGCTGGAAGAATTTATAAACCAATAGGATTTATTACTACTCTTAGTCTTAGAATTAAGGTGGAATTTGCAAGAAATAGGATTTCACAGGTAAAAAAATTAACACAGAAATAACCTGTGTCCCAAGGGTTACCTTGGTTATCTTGCTGAGTAGCAAGAAAAGATTAAGAATTGTACTGTTTAATTTATTTTCTGTTTTTATATTTTATTTATGTCTCCACAGTAAGTTATATGTTTTATGTAGTTTAGCAATTCTTTAAATTAGAATTATTCATTGGTAATGATTTTATTATGTTAGTTTTGCTAACAAGATTACCTAGTGCTTAATTTTTTTTTAAATGGGAGAGCCTTTTGAGCTGTTGTCAACAATTATAGCAACTCGGTGTTATACTTGAAGGGACAAACCCCTGATGCTGTAAATTTAATTTGGATAGAATAATATGAGAAGTACACTTATTACAGATGTGGTGAGGCAGAGGAAGAGGTCCCAAAGGTGCTTTTTAAAGAGGCAACTGTACTTTTTTGTTTTTCTTTTAAAATGTTTAGCTTCTCATCCAAGAAGTTCTTCAACTCTGAGCTTTTAGGATGAGAAGCAAAACGTCTTCAAAGAAAAACAATCCAGTTGCCTTTTGAAAAAAGCACCTTTGGGACAACCATGACCTGGATGACTGAGAATCTCCATAGACAAGTAGATGAAGAAGATTCATAGTTGTATGGCTGCCAGCCTTCCTGGCATCTTACTGGCATTATGGCAAAAATAATCTACGAAGAAAATGAAGAGATGAGAGAGGGTGCAAATAACTCTTTTATTAATGTAAAACTATTAGGTTATAGTGAGTCTCTTGCATCCCAGCAAAGATCAAGAGCCACAAGGTTACGTAGATCTTATTAAAAATGTTGATCAAAACATTTTGAGTTTGAGCATCAATTTTCTCTAGCAGATGACTTCAAACAACAGTTGTATTACGGCTGATAAGGAAACAAAGGGAGTTGTAGGCCCCCTTCATGGTGTGAAAACATTAAACACATTTCTAGAACAGAGACATAACAACTTTGGTAAGTGACTTATACCAGGGCTGTAATTGTTATTCTAAAAAGCAGATAAGCAAATGCTTCAAATCTGTTTTCACCCCAAAATGTGAACTTTAATCAGTCACTATCAGACACAGATTTGTACAATAATAAAAGTTTATACTGAATGATAAGCATGTAGTCTGCAACATGTGTACACACACACACATTAATATAAGTAAGCAGAAGCATGATTATATGATTGATTTAACTTGAGGTCTTATCCTAACCTATCACACTGGTGATTAAAAAAAGGAAATTATATAAGGAAATTAAAGCTCATCTGAATATGTAAGTATGTTACTACAGGTAACATAGGTATCATGCAATGCCTTGTTTTACAAGTTGATAAGAGAATAGTGTGCATGCTACTGTGCTTCGCGGAAATATTGTTAATTGTGCCAAAAGTTGCATAAACAAAACCACTATTGAAACTGTCCTCTCTTGTCAAATTAATTAGAAGCTCCAGATGCATTGAAAGTTGCAAAGATTCTTTGTTGTATCTTTATGAATTAAAGTTGTCCTCTGGTTCAGCAAATGACTAAATTCTTATTCATGGTCAAACTTTGTTATTTCAGAAAGAATTAGTTAATAAATTGCTCTACTGATGTTATTTAATTACTGTAGTTAAAAAAATGAAGGCAGTTTTAACTATAACATTACATATTAAGCATGCACTCATTCTTTCTGTTGACAGATACCTTGTTAGATTTTTTTTTTGGTCTAAACATGGTTTTATTTCTGCTAAACATGCATTAATTTCTGGTAAAATGTTTTTTCCCCTGAAATGACATGTGCATTTTGAATAAGTAATCTATTTGCATAAGTCATGTGGAGCCAGAGATTGAAGATCCCTCAATGCTCATATGATATCCTAGCCTGCAGAGAGCTGTTCAGCAGTGTGAGTTGTGCTATATGTTTCCTGAGGCATAGGGAAAAGGGGTTCTTTTATTTTTTGATTTGATACATAGAACAAATCAACACTTCGGCTTCTTAAAGAAAGCCATCTTTTTTAGGATCTTTTAGGATCACGCTCTTACTATGTGTTTGGATTTTTCAGAGCCATAATAATTAGAAGTGGAGAGGTCATTCCAATGTCTTCAGAATTCACACCAGAAACAGAGCGTCAGCGGCTTCAGTATCTGGTAAGAGGCCTAAATCCTTATATTAGAAGAAGGTAAGAATGGATTTTTTAAACCAAGGTAAACAACTGCAAACTCTCCAGAGCCCAGAATTGTTGCCATGTGGTTGCTTTATAATATATCTGGAGATGGTTAAATACGTGAAGACTGTGCATGCTAACTGCTGACGTTGTATGACTTAAAAACATGTCCAGTTCCTGAACAATGTAACAATCCACACATTCAGTGCAGTGAAGAGCTGTGGCACAACACTACTTGATTATGTACCATCAAATTGGTGTCCTCAGTGATCATATAGATAGATTTTCTCTATGACGATCTGTCCTAACCTGGTCTTTCAGGTCTTCTAACAATACCCCTCATGCCACTGTAATGGAGTCCATCCATCTGACAGTTCTTCTTCCCATTCCTTCGATCTTTCCTAAGTATCAGAGCTAGTTCTTTGTCTAATATATCTGAAGTAGGATAATTTTAGCCTAATCATTTTTGGATGTTCATGGTATTCTCAGGACTCTTCTCCAACATGGAAAACTTACAAAGCAGTCATCACCACTCACAGTCAAGATCTATGGTAGAACCTACTGCAAAGCAGTAGAGAATCTGTGACATTAAATACTAAGAAACCAGTATAATAAAACATTCATGTACCCTCCCTGCATTACACTAAATACTATTATATAGAATTCTTTATTGGCTAAGTGTGATTGGACACACAAGGAATTTGTCTTTGGTGGAAATTTTTATTTGTCAAGTTCAGAGTAGGCAGAGTCTAATATATTATTCCCCCTGTGCCTTTGCAGTTATGATCACATTGCTGGCGATTTCTGCCCTTCCTATACCCATTTCTTAAAGCAAGAACAGCCAATTCTTTGTCAGGTTGTGAAATCTGCCAAGTGTGGCCTTTATATAAATTTCCTGAAGAAGTAGCTAACACCTTAAAAAAATGCTACATACGGATCTGTTTCTCCCTCCCTTCCTTCTTTGTGTCCCTTGCTTTCTCCTGCAATCTCTAGGGTATCATCATTTTAGTGACCTTTCCTCCCACTGAGGCTGATTGGGGCAGGTTTGAGAGACCAGATGGCTTTTCTTTTTTAGAAATGCTTGCACTTTAGAACATAAGTTGCTGGCTATAAAAGCAGGAGTGAAGGACATAGGGAGAGCGGGCTGTTGTTGTTTTAAATGTTTTGGAAGATTAAACTACTTTAAGAGTATGCAGGTTTACAACAACAAATGCCCAGCAAATATAATGAATACAATACAATACAATAGCAGAGTTGGAAGGAACCTTGGAGGTCTTCTAGTCCAATCCCCTGCCTAGGCAGGAAACCCTATACCATTTCAGACAAATGGCTATCCAACATCATCTTTTTTTAAGAAAAGTTTTATTGTTTTAATTAAACAAAAACAAAAAAAAAGAAACATCTTTCGTTAGATCTTGTAGAAAGCGTGTCGATTGGTTACAAACACATTTCATGCGTTTCTTCCCCAATCCTTACATATACTTCATTCAAATTGAATTATGCTATATTGAGCTTTTAGAGAAAACAAAGGGAAGCAAATAAAGCCAGAGTTTTGTGATAACCTAATTGCCCAGGCAA